GATTTTCCTTTAAATCAAAAAAAGCATTATCGTGACGCCCATGAGACCTGGTGTAGGTATATACTAAAATAAAATGATAAATTCTGACATAATCAAGCAGTAGACGCAGATGCCCCTATTAAGTGAATATACACTCTAAATAACAAACCATAACTAGATAGGCGCTTGCTCAATAAAATAAGTATACTAAAAACATCAAAATTGAATCACGAATATATATACAGTGGGGCAAAAAAGTATTTAGTTAGCTACCAATTGTGCAAGTTCTCCCACTTAAAAAGATGAGAGAGGCCTATAATTGGCATCATAGGTAGACCTCAACTATGAGAGACAAAATGAGAAAACAAATCCAGACAATCACATTGGCTGATTTGGAAAGAATTTATTTGCAAATTATGGTGGAAAATAAGTATTTGGTCAATATCAAATGTTCATCTCAATACTTTGTTATATAGCCTTTGTTGGCAATGACAGAGGTCAAACGTTTCCTGTAAGTCTTCACAAGGTTGGCACACAATTTCATAGAGGTGTGATGGTCAGGTATTCCCACACTTTTGGCCATACAGAGTGCTGGTAGCCCAGAGAGCAGGTGGGGGACTAGGGCAGAACTACAGGCTCTGAAAAGTTTCATTGTAACAAGAGAATGAGCATTACTTAACGTGCTATAATAGCTAAAACCATTTCTTTGTGTTCAGTGTCATTCACTGGATATTTTGCTGGTGTTTCCATATACAAAAAAGTATTTTCATCCTGCTTTCTTCCAGGTCAAAGCGAACAATGGGCCTTGGGAGTCTGTACGGAGAGAATGACCTTCTCGACCTTGATTCAGATCCGCATAGAGAGCATGATGTTGCCCTTAAGCAGATAGAACATCTGAGGGAAATCCTGTGAGTTTTCATCTAGTGGGAAGTCACAAAAATACACTTTCATCTTTTCTTAAGAGTTGCATGTGGGATCTTGGTTCCCCACAGAAGTGCATTTTACCATTGGGACTTCTGCTGGGGGACTGTGCTCCTTCCACCATCTGTGTGCGTCCCAACTTTCCTCCATTTTAACACTTACATCATATTACTATCCCTCTCACACAGAGCCCTGAAATTAGTTACTAATTTTTGATTACTTTAGTAACCAAATTTTTATTGAAATGCTGTGTGGTGCTGGAAGACTTTGCTCCTCTTGATGTCTTTCAGTATGTTTCTTACCATTTTCTTTTGTTCCATGGTGTGTCTTATCATTAATCCAGGTCATTGTAAAGCTAGTAGTAGTTGGTAGCCTTCATCTGGACTGTGGTTTAGTAAAGGTGAAGACATTTTAACACTCACCCAAGTGGCTTCTTTAGTTCAAATAAAGGTCAGGAACATACGCCAGCATTTATACCCATATGGGTCCCTCAGCCACCTTAATTCTGTAGTGTAGTAATGTTCAAGACATTTCACCACATATCCAAATGGCTTCTTTAGTTCCAATGATGGTTGGACACACAGTACTCCAGCATTTATGTTCATACGGGTCCCTCTTTCATCTCAACCCTGTAGTATAGTAACGTTGAAGACATTTTACCACTCCTCCAAGTGGCTTCTTTAGTTCCAACAGTACTCCAGCATTAATATCCATATGTGTCCCTCTTTCACCTTAATCCTTTAATATAGTAACATTGAAGACATTTCACCACATAATCCAAGTGGATTCTTCAGTTCTTTTACAAAGAATTTTATTATAGAGTAGGAAACAGCAAAAAAAAATCAGTCAAAAACATATGCAATGACCAGTAAGAATATAACATACAAAGGATTCGATGAATAATACAAAGTAAGTACTGATGAGAAAGCATGAAAATAAACTGTGTACATAAGTGCCGTATAGGAAGAAAACACAATAAGTTTAAAAAATGATAGACATTTTGAGACCAATAACATAATGAACTCTAAGGAGAGATTATTACTGTATCTGCATACAGAGTGCGAGAAGAATAGAAGAAGGAGCCTCTCTGAATATAGAGAGGTACTGAACACGTAGGCTCTCTAAGAAGTCAAGCACATGGATGCAGTATTGCCGATACAGGGCTCAATACACAGATCACAGTCAGCACAGATAGCCTGAAGAAGACAGACTAGACAAGAGGAAAGAAAAGAGCAAAGACAAACAAAAACAAAAAAAAAAAAGGGGGGGGGGGGGGGCTCCAGGGGGATCGCAGCAGAGAAAAAAAAAGAAATAGAGAGAAAAAAAAAATATATACTGGTATATAAGGTTTATATTGACAGGAGGGACTGGTCGAATCTCGACGGTTGAGCTATATCAAGCCAAGGACGCCATGTCTGCAAAAATTTTGTATGGGTGCCTAACAGTATAGCTGTCAATTTTTCGTTGACCATTATAAAGTTCATCCGGGTTTTGATAGCCTCAAAGCTGAGGAGGGGAGTCTTCCAAGCCCTCGCAATCGTCAGCTTGGTGGCCATGAATAGGTGCGATCCCAGCTGCCGTTCAGGTTGAAGTAGGCCCACTAATGGTTTAAATAACAGCGCTTCGTACAGGTTGCGCTTAATGTCAGTGTGAAACATAGTGCGGAGATGGATTCTTCAGTTCAAATGATGGTCTGGACATAACCCAGTAATTTATTATCACAGGGTCCCTCAGTCACCTTAATCCTGTAGTGTAGTAATATTGAGGACATTTCACCACTCATCTAAGTGGCTCCTTTAGTTCAAATGAAGGTCAGAAACGTACCCCAGCATTTATACCCACGTGGTTCCTTCTGTTATCATAAACCAATGACCATTGTGGAATAAAATGTGTCAAGACAGATGTTTGTCCAAGAACATGATGGGAGGTGTGAATATTGTTAGTAAGTGCCATATTTTAATTAAAATAATTAAATCAGCCATGGTTCCATGAAGTCTGGGAGAGGGCTCCATGAGACAGGAACTATGAATCATTTTGATCCAGTCCTCATCTATGCAGTCACAGAAGTTTATATCTATTTTTTTTATCCTGGTCAGTACTGCTGAAGGGCTCTTTGCATCATCTGTTAGGCTGCTGTAATCCAGCATCTTTCCTGTGTACCTCCAGACCCATGTTACATGCAGCCCTGTAATCTTACAGACTAGTTCACAACTTCTTGTGGTCTCATATAATAGAAGGATACTAATAAATCGTTATTCAGCACCAAAGGACTCCACTCTTTCCCCTTTCAGTTTGTTTTCCCATTTGCCTTCTTGCATCATATGCAGTCCTGTCCTCTCATCACATGATAGGACAGGGCAGTGCACCCTCCCATTTTATTGGCAGCACATTGCTCTCCTGATTTACCCTGTACTGTTGGATTATCAGCTTGTTTTCCTATTTCTTTCTCCATCTCCATTTTCCCATTTCTCACCATTAACCTCCTTCCATTCATTGTTGATTAGAATCATAGTTTCATACATTAATTAATTATTTTTCTTTTCAGGTCAAAGTATGAAGAGGAAAGAAGGTATGTTGATATTAGTGGGATCATCCACATTTGAAGTGGTAGGAAGTGATTATACTGGAAGATTTGGTTTGGTTTTATCCATTGAGGCTTAATAATCACTAATATCATTTTGTCTAAGTTGTGTATATTTATTAATATTGGGTTTTATAGTCTAAATTTTAGCACAATAAAAGCTCAAGTGGCTACACCATATAGTGACCTTTCTCAACTTTTTGAACGTGGAGGAGCTCTTCAGGTCTCAGGGAACACCTGCCAATAATTACTATATGTAAAGCTGAGGGTACATTGGTAAGGTGGTCAGTAGGAAGAATGCCCCTTCGCCTTCTCAATCAGATAGCTAAAATGATCAGTGGTGTCAGTGCTGACTAATCTGATAGGTAGAAAAATTGCCATGGAACTTTGGTTGAGAAAGGCCGCCATATAGATATGGGTGGTAAATATTTGTTTGTTTGGTTCCAAACATTAAATGTGAAGCTAGGCACCAGAATAAAGACTTAGCAAAGCCCCCAGTTACATGCATTAAAGTCTTTAAATAATAAAATTACCAACAATCATCTTCTACAGTCAGATCTCATAATCTGGCTGTCCTAGGAAGGGGAGTTATTTAGGCACATGACACTGGTGAGATACCCAATACACTCATTAGGCTTGACTGCATTGCCTACTGGCCTCTATGAGTGGAGAGATAGACTCTAATATCAATGGAGGATTCCTCCTCCAGTGCATAGTATAAATCATGGTAATTTTAGTGGCAAAATCACCAAAGCTTAATTTGGGTGCCTCTTCTGTAGCCCATTACTCAATAATCTAACTGATTTATTTAAATGTAGCAAAGATAAGGGCTAAGTTCACACTCAGTAGTCATGGCTATGCTGCCAACTGATCTCTATGTATGGGATGATGGTCACTGATATCAATGGAGGATTCCACCTCTGGTTGATGGTCACTGATATCAATGGAGGATTCCCCTCTGGATCTGTGATCTATGGAGGATTCCCCCTCTCTATGTATGGAATGATGGTCACTGTGATCAATGAAGGCTTTCACCTCTGGATGATGGTCACTGATATCAATAGAGGTGTCAGGAATGGATTCAGCATTGGTGGTGGGACTCTCCTGCCGTGTGGGCTGCAGTACCAGAGCTGACCAGCGGGTGCTCTCAGCACTGGTGGTGGGACTCTCCTGCCGTGTGGGCTGCAGTACCAGAGCTGACCAGCGGGTGCTCTCAGCACTGGTGGTGGGACTCTCCTGCCGTGTGGGCTGCAGTACCAGAGCTGACCAGCGGGTGCTCTTAGCAGCCAGAAGCTCACAATCAGCCAAACCTGGGGCTGATTACAGAAAGGTGTATATAAGGCATGACCAGGCCTGTGCTCTTTGCCTTGGTGTATGTCTCCCCATGTGCCCCTGTATCCTTTTCCTAGTTCCTGTGAGAAGATACCTTGTTGCCGACCCTGTCTGATCCTGATTCCTGTTTCCTGTTGACCGTCTCCTGCTCTGACTACTGGCTCATCCCTGACTATTCTTCTGCCTGATCCTCTGTACTGCGCTGTCCGTGAGTTACTGAACCCGGCTTGTGACCTTGACCATTCTCTGCCTGCTCCTTTGATACCTTGCTGCCCGCACGTTGCTGACTTGGCCCGTCTGACCACGCTAACTACTCTGCCATCCATCCATCCTGCACGGATCCAGCCGTACCTGCACATACCTCTGGCGGATCCCTCTATCACTAGCAGGTGTACTCAGGGGCCGCGACCTGGTTCCTGTCTGCTCCAAGTCCATCCCCACCATCAGGGGCCCTGGTGAATAGCAGACTGGGACTTAGACTCCGCGCCCTGGGGAATCCTGCCCTGAGGACCGCTAGAGGTACCACCAGGCAGTCGTTACAGAACCCTACGGCCGGCCTGACCATTCCACTCTCTCCAGCCCTGACTACGCCTGTGTTCCTGCACCTCCTAAGATTAGTGGAAGGTTAGTTTGTTCACTGTGCGTTTATATATATATCTGGGTGGCTAATAATACCTGTATAATACTATACCTGAGACCTGCGTTTCCCTGTGTCAGTCCGCACCTTTCTGGTCATTCCTTGATTCCTGACATCACACCAAGGCCTTTCCTGACCAGAAGTGGCTGCACAGGGAAGCCCATCTTGACTTGTTGTGCAGGATGCATCTGATGAGGTTATATATTTGTCTATGCTAGTCTTTGATGACAGGGAATATGCCTATCAGACTCTGCGGGAGTATACCCGGGATCAGCTGCTAGAGTGCATACGGGTCGCTCATTCCCTAGTAGGTCAGGTCCTAGAGCTCTCTGAGGTGCAACCATTGATTCAGGCTTGTATTGAGTTGGCTTCATCTAGTACCCCTGAAAGCAGGGATGAATTTCTTCCTCCATTCAGGGCGAGTCAAAATAATATCACTGGTATGGTTGTTGGAGGATGATCCGGATTGCTTCTTGGAGCATTATTCAGCATATTCACCACAGGTGCTAAAGAAGTGTATAAACGCAGTGCAAACTTTGATCAGACAGGCCTTGTGTAAGCTGAGCGTTGTCCAACCCTTACTGCAGACATGGTCAGACTTGTTACACCCAGCCTCAATCAGCTTGCAACGAACCAGTCCTGTTTCTCATCATTCCTCTGCTCAAAGCTCTTTTCCTGCATTCCCGACAGCACCCCCAGTGACAGCCCCCCCAGTGACAGCCCAGTATACCCAGCAATCTGCCACATGTCGGTACCCTACTCCCCCACTCACTGTACTGTCGTGCCAGTTGACTTGGTGCCAGTTGACTTGGTGCCCGCTGTCGAGCCAGATGACTCGATGCCGGTTGACTCGGTGCCCGCTGTCGTGCCGGTTGACTCGGTGCCCGCTGTCGTGCCGGTTGACTCGGTGCCCGCTGTCGTGCCGGTTGACTCGGTGCCCGCTGTCGTGCCAGTTGACTCGGTGCCAGTTGACTCGGTGCCCGCTGTCGTACCAGTTGACTCGGTGCCAGTTGACTCGGTGCCCGCTGTCGAGCCAGATGACTTGATGCCTGATGATTCGGTGCCAGTTGACTTGGTGCCCGCTGTCGCACCAGTTGACTCGGTGCCAGTTGACTCAGTGCCCGCTGTTGAGCCGGATGACTTGATGCTTGATGACTCAGTGCCCGCTGTTGAGCCGGATGACTTGATGCTTGATGACTCGGTGCCCCGCTGTCGTACCGGTTGACTCGGTGCCAGTTGACTCGGTGCCCCGCTGTCGTACCAGTTGACTCGGTGCCAGTTGACTCGGTGCCCGCTGTCAAGCCAGATGACTCGATGCCTGATGACTCTCGGTGCCCGCTGTCATGCCAGTTGACTCGTGCCGCTGTCGAGCCAGATGACCTGATGCCCGAGGACCCAGTGCCCGCTGTTGAGCCACATAACCTGATACCTGATGACTTGGTGCCCGCTGTCGTGCCAGTTGATTCAGTGCCCACTGTTGTGCCAGTTAATTTGGTGCCTGCTGTCAAGCTTGGTGACCCGGTACCCGCGGTTCTGCTAGAAGGCTTGGTGCCCGGTGACTCTGTGCCCGCTGTCGTGCCAGATGACTTGGTGCCCGCTGACGTGCCTCTGCCCGCTACACAGCCCGACATGCCAGCCCCTGATGTCCAGTTAAACTGGCCGATAACTGATACCCAGCCTGCTCCTGGAAATCCTGTGCCCAGTGACCTGCCTTCCTTGGTTCTCCTACACAAAGAGAAGTCTACCAGCAGGAAACCCAGCCAACCGGTTTACTCCGGCAGTAGGATATTCAGCCAGTTACCGGACCCGGGCGGTGGAACATTTTGCCCACTAAGGACTGTTTGGAGCGTCCTGAGGCCGCTCCTTGAGGGGGGGGTTCTGTCAGGAATGGATTCAGCATTGGTGGTGGGACTCTCCTGCCGTGTGGGCTGCAGTACCAGAGCTGACCAGCGGGTGCTCTCAGCACTGGTGGTGGGACTCTCCTGCCGTGTGGGCTGCAGTACCAGAGCTGACCAGCGGGTGCTCTCAGCACTGGTGGTGGGACTCTCCTGCCGTGTGGGCTGCAGTACCAGAGCTGACCAGCGAGTGCTCTTAGCAGCCAGAAGCTCACAATCAGCCAAACCTGGGGCTGATTACAGAAAGGTGTATATAAGGCATGACCAGGCCTGTGCTCTTTGCCTTGGTGTATGTCTCCCCATGTGCCCCTGTATCCTTTTCCTAGTTCCTGTGAGAAGAGATACCTTGTTGCCGACCCTGTCTGATCCTGATTCCTGTTTCCTGTTGACCGTCTCCTGCTCTGACTACTGGCTCATCCCTGACTATTCTTCTGCCTGATCCTCTGTACTGCGCTGTCCGTGAGTTACTGAACCCGGCTTGTGACCTTGACCATTCTCTGCCTGCTCCTTTGATACCTTGCTGCCCGCACGTTGCTGACTTGGCCCGTCTGACCACGCTAACTACTCTGCCATCCATCCATCCTGCACGGATCCAGCCGTACCTGCACATACCTCTGGCGGATCCCTCTATCACTAGCAGGTGTACTCAGGGGCCGCGACCTGGTTCCTGTCTGCTCCAAGTCCATCCCCACCATCAGGGCCCTGGTGAATAGCAGACTGGGACTTAGACTCCGCGCCCTGGGGAATCCTGCCCTGAGGACCGCTAGAGGTACCACCAGGCAGTCGTTACAGAACCCTACGGCCGGCCTGACCATTCCACCTCTCCAGCCCTGACTACGCCTGTGTTCCTGCACCTCCTAAGATTAGTGGAAGGTTAGTTTGTTCACTGTGCGTTTATATATATATCTGGGTGGCTAATAATACCTGTATAATACTATACCTGAGACCTGCGTTTCCCTGTGTCAGTCCGCACCTTTCTGGTCATTCCTTGATTCCTGACAAGAGGATTCCAGCTCTGGATCATGGTGACTGATATCAATGGAGGATTCTAGCTCTGGAACATGGTCACTGATATCAATGAAGGATTTCATCTCTGGATTATAGTTACTGATATAAATGGAAGATTCCCCCTATGAATGATGGTCACTGAGATCAATAAAGGGTTCCACCTCTGGATGATGGTCACTGAGATCAATGGAGGATTCCACCTCTTGATGATGGTCACTGAAACCAATGGAGGATTCCACCTCTTGATGATGGTCACTGAAACCAATGGAGGATTCCACCTCTTGATGATGGTCACTGAAACCAATGGAGGATTCCACTTCTGGATGATTGTCACTGAGATCAATAAAGGATTCCACCTTCAGATGATGGTCACTGATTTCAATGGAGGATTCCCCCTCTAGATAGTCACTGATATCAGTGGAGGATTCCACCTCTGATTGATGGTCACTGATATTATCGGAGCATTCCACCTCTGGATTATGGTCACCGATATCAATGGAGGTTTCCCCCTCTGGATGATGGTCACTGATATCAATGGAGGATTCCACCTCTGGATGATGGTCACTGATATCAATGGTGGAGTCCAGCTCCAATACATTATTAAAGTCTTGGTGGCACGAGAAGTGGCAAAAGTTGTTTACTTTAAGTGACACCACTGGAGCTCATAGAAATTGTTACTCAGTAATTGAACTAAGTAATTAAAAAGTATCAAAGATGAAGACTAGGTTCACACTAGCCCATTCTCTAAAAAGCGATCCAATGTTTTGAGAGAGTTCGGCTAAGCAGCCGCTTACAGGAGTTTAGGAGGCAGTTTTTCTTTTTTTTTTGCCAATCGAAAAGTCAATAGGACTAATGCATTGCAACCATGATCCAAGTACCATTGACTTAGACAGGCAGTGAGATTAACACACAGCAACCATGAGCCAAGTGCCATTGGCTTAGACAGGCAATGAGATTAAACACACGGCAACCATGAGCCAAGTGCCATTGACTTAGACAGGGAATGAGATTAACACACGGCAACCATGAGCCAAGTGCCATTGATTTAGACAGGGAATGAGATTAGGACACGGCAACCATGAGGCAAGTGCCATTGAGTTAGACAGGCAATGAGATTAACACACGGCAACCATGAGCCAAGTGCCTTTGGCTTAGACAGGCAATGAGATTAACACACGGCAACCATGAGCCAAGTGCCATTGGCTTAGACAGGCAATGAGATTAACACACGGCAACCATGAGCCAAGTGCCATTGACTTAGACAGGCAATGAAATTAACACACGGCAACCATGAGGCAAGTGCCATTGACTTAGACAGGCAATGAGATTAACACACGGCAACCATGAGCCAAGTGTTTGGCTTGCAGTTGTTGGGTGGCCCCATTGACTTGAGTTTGTCTGGCGGTGCAGCCTGTCAACTGGACATGCTGCAATAAATTTGCCACAGCCACGTTGCAAAGCATTGTGAACAGCCCCCTCCAACTGTATTTCAGGCTTTAAATTCAGTTGTCAAACTGCCTGTCTTTGCACCCCCTGTTGCCTGTGAAAAAGGGGGTGGTTTAGGTTAATACTACATTATTTATTTCAGGTATTTATATAGCGCCATCAATTTATGCAGCGCTTTACATATATATTGTACATTCACATCAGTCCCTAACCCTCAAGGGGTGTACAATCTAAGGTCCCTAACCCTCAAGGGGCGTACAATCTAAGGTCCCTAACCCTCAAGGGGCGTACAATCTAAGGTCCCTAACCCTCAAGGGGCGTACAATCTAAGGTCCCTAACTCACATTCATACATGCCCATACCTGGGACAACTTAGACAAGAGCAAGTTCACCGACCAGCATGTCTTTGGAGTGTGAGAGGAAACTGGAGTTCCCGGAGGAAACCCACGCAGGCACAGGGAGAACATGCAAACTCCAGGCATTAGACAGCTATTCCACTTGCCTTCTCCTCCGTCAGCCCCTGGGTGGTATGCAGCGGTGTTTGCAGGCCTGTGCATTACTTATGTGCATATAAGGTTGTGTGCTCAGCAGCTCGGAATATTAGATCCCACAAATCCCTCTGTTTAACCTGCACCACTCAGCCATAGCAGAAATGTATATATATCTTGTCACATCCTGCAGGATTTTAAAGCTCGGGGGATTTTAACTGCTTTTACGGTGCACAAATAACACAAAGACTCTCCAATGTATGTAAAATTCATGTAAAGCTGGCGCGCCATAAAAGGAACTGAAATTCATGACTGTTTGTAGATAGTAGTCGGCAGACTATTATCCAAACTTCCATCTATAGTCTTTAGGGCCCCATATCATTTTTTGATGGGTTTTTTTTTTTTGGTTACTGTATAAAGTTTTCCTGTTAATGATCACAGCCTGAACTGTCAAATAAGACATTGTACATGGTGGTCCATAGCCATTATATATGATCTTATTACAACATTTGTATGATCAGGCATAGTTTATTGTCAGTATGTCTGATTATATAGCACATGCTGTAGGCTCTTATTGAGAATGATTTTCACAGCTAAATTCACAGATTAAATATATATATGGGGACTGGTTTACCAGCCAAAACATTTGTATTTGTGTCCATCCTGTCCTGAGATGTACACAGCTATAACACACAGCACAGCTGTGCCTTCCAGTGCAGATTTTGTTTTTTTCTGCTGCAGTGTCACTTTCATTTACAAGTCGCCTTCTCACTCTCACCAATTGACTAGACAGTGAAAAGAGAATCAGAAGACTGATTAGCTCATCCCTCTGTCACTCTGTTCTCTTCCTATTGGCATGCTGATTAAAATAA